GATTCTAATTTATTAAGTAGGTCCATAGTATCCTTAAGATAGGATCGGGACAATTTTACATAAGGCTGTAACATAATGTCTATATATTCTGACATATTTGATAGGATAGAATCTATACCGGAGACAATAGGTCTTCCTGGGGGTCTTTCAGTGTCTTTATGAATCTTCGGTAGGAAATATATGACTGGTATCTTTGGAAATTTCTTGTTTTAGTAGTTGAATTCATCCGTACTTAGTATATTCTTATCCTTGCCTTGATTCAGAAATTTCTCTAACATATTTTTGATATCAGAGGTGGGGTCCCTTGTAAGTTTAACATGTCTTTATATCATTCAATTGTCTAAAGGCCTCCTCTTCATACATTTCTGTAGATAAAATCACTAAACCTCCCCCCTTATCGGCTGGTTTTATAACAATAGTATCATCGTTTTGTAACTCTTTAAGGCTTTCTCTCTCCCTTTTTGTTAGGTTATTTTTATCTCCTATATGTTTTTCACTCAAACTTCTTATCCCTTTAGATACCTTTTTTTCAAATATATCTATTGCGCTTGACTTAAAATTTGACGGATAAAACGTACTTTTATTTTTTAGAGAGCTTTTGACATACATATCGTCACTAGTATTGTTAATATCTGTAACTTGATTATTTATCGTATTATTTTTGCTTATATAAAATCTTTTTATAGTAGCATTTCTTACAAATTTATTTATGTCTATGTATGCTAAAAAAGGGTTAAAAGTTTTTGTGGGGGCATATTTAAGACCTTTATTTAGTACTTTCAACTGTATATTTGTTAAAGGTTTGCCTGATAGGTTGAAGATTCCTTTATTTTCATTCTCACTTAAATCTTTGTTTAAAATCTCTCTGTCCTTCCTTTTTTGTTTTCGTCTACCTGACCGTCTTCCTCTAAACTTCTTTTGCGGCCTCTCGTTGGACTGATATGGTCGGACTGTCTTTCCCGGTTTGATGGAATCTCTAAAAAAGATGTCTCATCAAATTGTTCAGAGAAAGAAAGGGCATGGTATCTATTGTGTTTAAGTGCATCATCAGGGGGGCTATTTCTAGTATTCTCATATCTATTATGAGTCCTCCTTTCCTCTCTTTCCCATAAGTGTTTATTGTCTTTGTTTCGAATTTCCTTAGGAGACCTGTGCTCTTGTGTTAATCTATATGTTTTTGGTCTTACAACTATTGGGGATTCTTTAATTTCGATCTGTGTATGAATCCTCTCTCTTCTATCTAAATTTTCTTTGTGGTGAATGGTATCCATATTTGTTTTGTGTATTGGCATACTTGTGTGGTCTCTTGATTGTGTTTCTTTGTGGGGATTATTTCTCATATGCATGTCCATTTTAAAAAAATCATAATTGGTGGATTGTTTTTGTCTATTAATGTGCATATTTTTATCTGTCTCCATTCTTTGCTTATTTGGTGAAAGGTGTGGTCTTCTTGGTGAATGTTGCCTTCTTAGTGCTTTTGGTGAATAATTTCTATAGGGTGAAGATTTGTATGAAGGGAAATTCCTTTCTGGTGAACGCATTTTGTATCTTTTTTGCTGAAAATTGGCTTTATGGGTGAAATCGTGACTATATAGGCGCTTTGATCTAAAGTTGAAGTTTCGATTCTGAGTCTCGTATCTATTGTGGTTGAATTTAATGGGGGTTCTATGACCATCATGGTTCCATCCCTTCTGTAAATTTTGTTTCTTTTTATTGTAACTCCGCACCTGGTCATGGGCATAGTCATATTTATCCCCTGTGTATCACTTTAAGATCTCCATATATGTGCATGGTTCACTTTGTGTATAGCATATTTTTATAATATTGGTTATTTTTATAGATTTCTATGCATGCTTATTTTCTGGTATGCAACACCTGGTATAAACCTATATATTTTGTGTGTATAGCTCTATGATGTCTTTTAAAAAAAAAAAAAAGTGCTGGCTATCTTTTGTAATTAAACATATGTCTTATTTGCTTTTATTATATGTTTTTATTTTTACATTCTTTCTTTAAATTTTATCACCTTGTTAATTACATAATTTACTTATTTTATTCTTATATGTATTGTATCCCATATCGGCAATTTGCCGAACTACAATTCCGATGAACAATACCAGATCGTGATACATCACTTCCGGGTGACGAAACAGTGTTTATAGAGAAATGGACAATGTAAACTACATGTCCCATCAACCATTGGGAGATACGTTGATGTCACTTCCGGGAGCCGCACACAACATGAATGGAGGGATACTACATATCCCAGCAAGCTATGAAAAGACTCGCTGACATCACTTCCGGGTGACACACGCGACCCGGAAGTAGGAAGTGAAATTGCATCAGGACTAAATCACATCAATCAGGAACACTTATATAAAGAGGACTCCATTGAATTTTGGACTTATTACTTCTGAAGAAGCCCCAGACCGGGCGAAACACGTTAAGTAAGAGATCTGATACTACTTTTATTACATATTTTTTATTTTGTAACAATAAAGTTATAGTTTTTACTACTTTATTTGTTGTTCCTGATACATCTTGAATCCTGACATATCCTTTGGTGGGGATCATACCACCACATGCTGTCTATACCAGAGCAAGATATTTGCTCTGAAATTTGTAAGTAGGATACTTTTCCTTTATTTGCACACTTTTTAATAGATATACTACACTATTGGATTTTATTTCTATTTTTATCTTTCCATATACCACTGTGGAGGATTGGATACCGCATTATACCATCACTTGATATCCTGAGACGGGGATTATACCGTCTAGGCGCTATACGGCAGAGCTCTGAGTAGCTCTGCAAAGTGTGAGTGAGTCTTTTATAAGCTTTTATATACTCTTATTTCACTTGACATATTGCACTATTATTGTTCTGTACTTTTTTGTCTTGAAGGTTTTATACATTCCTAATTAGAGGACTCTCTGTATGTATATATTTTAATTATTATTTGCACTGTTTGGGCGCGGTTTACCACGTTTGTCTCTTCTGTTTTACTACTGTCTAACTCAATATCTACTGTGGGGATATGTATGGGATAATAATAGTAACAGTGAGAATTGCCCACTAATTCAATTCTCAGATCCCAAAGAACGTTTATCGTGTTAAGTGAGAAGTATTTCATATAAATAATATCACAGTTTATAAAAATAGATTTTATTTTATAATAACAAATTAATTAATAATAATAATAATATGTAACATGCGTGACAATAATCAATGAATATCCAGTATAAAATGATATGCAATACAAAGGAATGGCTATACACGTTTCAATGGCTAAACAGCATTTTCTGTCAAGACTTTACACGATTTATGACTATCTTTACAGACTGAAAGTGAAGCTTTTCACAGCGAAGGGCCATAAAACCCTGGCTAACAGTTAGAATAACCCTTTCAATGCTGGCTAGATCTCCTAGATAGTTAAGATCTATTCTTATGTAATTTTAAATAAAATAACATTTAAACCAGTTCATTAGTCATTTCCTGGAACCATCCAATAAGAGAATCTACCATGATTATATAAGCAGACTTTGTTTTTAATTTGTCTAAAAGATATCTTCTCTTAATTTAGAGCAAATCAATACACCTGGATAAAAACAACGGTATGCTACCACGTGATAATATCACATTAATATATAATTATTCTTAATTCCACCTGCAGAATGGAATGTTTATAACTATATATTCTTAGTTAACTAAGATTTCTTAACATGGAAATCTGACCATGCTTTATCCAGTCATATATAATGCTATTAATACATTTTAATTCATTTAATTAATTAAATGAAACCAGTATAATTACCAGTTGAGTAGATATTTCATCCGATTGGTAGATAGTCTCAGGAGCTTATTTGGATGTCTCTCTGCATTGCTTATGGTGAAAGGTGGTGTTGGTTAGAAAGTCAGTAAAATTCTAAGTGTTAGTTTTAAGAGTAGAGTGTTAGTCTCAGATGTTGTGAGTTGGAGTCCCCAAACTTCCAATTCCTCTCTCCTCTTTTTCTTTCTCCTTTGCATTCCTCTTTCTTCCCTTTGTCCTAACTTTTAAAGGGCCAGACTCTCTGTACATCATCAGTTGATAACCCAATAGAAGCATTAGAGGTGTGGTTATCTTCCAGATCGCAATTTAGTTATTTGATCTATAGAGGGCAGTCTTGTCCCACTAAACATACCTATCCAGGAAAGAGTTAACTTTCCTTGGTGGCTATTTTGACGTCATTTTGCGTTATCTTTATCTTTGCTATAACTTACGTATCCCTTTCAAAGGGTTTCTATAAGTTTTGTCCAGACTTCGTGTCTGGCAAATCTGAGTTTTGACCCATAACTTACAATGGGACCTTATAACATATATAGACAGTAAAATTAAATTATTTAATCTTCTCTGTCACAAATGTCTGGGTTTAGAATTGATTATATTCCATTAGCATTTTAGACAGTCTATCCAACCCCCGTTCTTCTTATCACTTGGTTTGTTTATACTATGCATTCCTTTAGCTCTGGCAAAGTGGTTAGTTTTACAGAAAGAAATCTTGTGTCTTTTTGTTAACTTGAAAATAACAAAATGGAGTCTGGTCTGTTCAAAGTGACTCAGAATATACACTTTTAATTTCTATCATAGCACAAGATGTCTGCCGATATAAATACCCTGACATAACCCCCCTTTAGTGCATTTCATAGCCAAAATTAATTTAACTTATGAATAAGCACTATAGAAGTTACCAGACATATTGTGCAATCACATCATTTCTAACATAGGCCCGCGCATGGAATGAACATTTTCGTATATATTTTTACCTGTAAGAGTTTGGAACTTTACACTTAGTACAATCAACCATAATATCATTATTACATAGTACATTGTTTTCATTTGAAAAATGTTTTTGGGAGTTACATATGGTATGGCCAATAAAAAGCAAATCTCCATACGTTCCGGATCAATTAAGAGAGGTATAGCGCTCCCCATCTCAAAGGCCAGATTTAATTGCATAGGCTCAATTGTCTCTCCATCCACATTGGCAAGCATCGCATGAACAATATCCTTGGATACAAAATACAGAGGTATGCGTCCCCCTGCCAATTCGATCATTCCAGTTTGCACTTCGTCAAGAAAAGCAAGTGTGTGGAACAATATTGGGTCATGCAGAAATAGAAGTTCACACTTAAATAAGTCATGACTTTGGTGCAACTCAGTGGATTTGGCAATTAACTCTGAATGCAAATTTGTTGTTACAACTGTGTCTTCCACAATAGTTAACACGTCTTGGATAAGTGTTCTTTGCTGTTGTATCACCTGATGAATATCGTTTAGATTTCCATATCCAGCTTTTGGACAGTAATAGAGTTGGCTGCAGACATTCCAGTTGCGATAACTGCACCGACAGTGGCACAAACTAATGCAACAATTATAGCGGTGAGGAACCTTTTGGGTCGGTTGTTCATCGGAATAGAACTGGATACAAATGGTTTCCGGGCTTGCTCCAAGATGTTTCGCACATGGTCCTGTGCTCTTTGGAGGTGCATCTGGTACCAAGTCTGTAACTCAGGAAGCTGCATTGATGAAATGTTGTATGCCTTCTCGATGGAAATCTTGGGGTCCAAGCTGACGAACACACGTCGGGTCAGGATCCTCTTCTCTGTCAAGATGAACCCTGGTGTCTCTTGAATCAGGATGCTGGAGGATGGTCCCATCTCTGCGATCGGGTCGGTCCGTAGCTCTTGGCACAGGAGCAGTACGATCCAGAAACACGCCACATCCTTCTTGGTCATCTTTCGACAGTCACGGATCAGGAACTCGTTTCAGACTTATCTACTAATGATTCAAGGTTTGTTAAGCATACAAACTTATAACAGTGTGACATCACTTGGCCTAGGACAACACATTTTTACGATTCATCAACATATGTATTCTCTCTAATTCTATTTTTATAACTTCATCCCTCACTACATTTATTACTGACTCTTCAGCAATATGCCTATAGCAGTTAAACAAGCTAGTAACCTGCTTAGAAATGTAGTTATTGGATGGCAAGGAAATGGTTAATGACATGAACGTACATGAGATCATGGCACATCACAACATTTCACATCATACTATACCACGTGAATCAAGCATTCATCCAGGTTAGTCGTTCATCCTTCTGCGTCCGAATCCACACCTATAATCCTTAATTGAGATTTAGGATGACAAGCACGCAACTGGTTAATGTGAACCCACTTTTCAATAAAATCACAATCCTTAGGAATTTTTATCTTATACGCTACTGGGGAAATTTTGTCAAAGATGACATATGGCCCTTTCCAAGAAGGTAAAAATTTATTTTCCTTGACTTGATTTCACGCAAAGTTATACAGATAGACTTGATCTATGATCTCATATTCCTTTTTCGTGGTTTTTAGATCGTAATAGGTCTTAACCCCTGTTGCTGCTTTTTCTAGATTCTTTTGGGCAAAAGCAAACGCATGCTGTAAATGCTTGCGCAAATCTTCGATATACTGATGCGTAGTGGCAGCATTGATCAAGTTATGATCCGAAGTATGATATAGTAAATGCTGTGGTAAAACCATCTTTCTTCCTGTCATCAATTCAAAAGGTGACAATTTGGTAGCAGTGCTAGGTGTAGCTCTAATCGCCATTAAAACTAGGGGCAATTTAATGTCCCAGTCTTTACCAGACTCCTTAACATGTTTCTTCAGAATATTAACGATAGACTGGTTATATCGCTCTACCCCCCCGCTAGACGCAGCGCGGTATGCAATATGTAGCTTTCGTTTAACACCTAGAATGTTCCACATCTTAGCCATTACTTCGCTGGTAAAGTGACTACCTCTGTCTGACTCAATTCTTTGAGGCAGACCGAACCTGGAAAAGACATGGTTAATCAACAAAGTGGCGCACACGGTACTCGTGTTCTCTTTACAAGGAAAACATTCTATCCACTTTGTGTACATACATGTAACGGTTAACATGTATTTGTTACCTCTTAAAGATCTTGTTACAGGACCTATAAAGTCAATTTGAATATCAGACCAGGGTAATGACACCCCCCTCTTCTGAAGTGGTGCACAATGGGTTGGACCATGTGGTTGATATTGCGGACAAATCAAGCATCCCTGACAGTATGTCTTAACATCCCTTAACATGTGTGGCCAATATGCATAATCACGCAATATCTCATATGTGATCTTATCACCACGATGCCCAGATGTAGGTGCATCATGTACGTGTTGGAGCATTAACCCTCTGTATACAGTTGGGACTACCCATTGTTGTATACCATGTTTAGAAGTTCTGACCAGTAACCCATCCATGATACTAAATTGGACTTTATATCTCATCAAGATTCGTAAATCTTCATTATCTTTGCAATCCACATCTGTGATGGGATTGGCAGTAGGGTCTTCTATATGTCTATAGAATATGCCTATGACTGGATCATTCTTTTGACTAGTAATCAGGTCCTCACTAGGAGCTTCTTGACTCCATTGTACGACATTTAAGTCGGCATTATCTCTAGCCTGTCGTCTAGTTATGGCTTCAACATGAATTGAACCCATAAGATCATCAATGTTTAGGGTTTCACCATTGGTGGCAGCTTGTTTTGCCAGTGAATCGGCCAAGTCATTACCATCCTTGTCAATACCTTCTATTTTAGAATGGCCTCTGGTTTTCTTCCAATATATGGTTAAACCATTTTCCTTAACCAGTTCATCAATTTTACAAAACAATTTCCCATGTTTAACAGGTTTGTTATTGCTTTTCAGCATTTGGTTACGTTTCCAGCTAGGCAGATATTCGACGAAACTGTTGCGAACATAGTTGGAATCAGTTATAATAACAAATTCTTTGATACTATATTCTATTGCCATTTGAATGGTCTTATATACTGCACAGAGTTCGGCTATCTGACTGCTTTTGGGACCAATATTGTATCCTATAGATACATTGGGATAATCACCTATTCAGGCGATTCCGATACCTGCAACTAACTTCCGTTCAGCACAAACGGAGTGGTGATATGAACAACCATCAATGTATACCCACGGTAGTGGTCGACAGTATTCCTCGTCATAAACTTTATAAGGAGATAGCAATTGCTCTTCTAGGAAGTCCTCTCCGGTGTCATTATCATCCAGAGATGGAGCAGTACAGTCATGTAATTCTGCTAAACCTTGGGCAACTGGGCTTCTCTTATTATGTTTATAACGGACTTCTAACGGCCATCCCTGTAAGGATAGAGTCCATGCAGTAATCCGACTGTTAGAGAGATTACCGTCTCTAATTCTTTCACTCTGCAGATACTGTAGAGGTTGGTGAGCTGTTATTTAATTATTTTCTCACCTTGGATATAGCTACGAAAATTTTGTAGTGCCCAGACAGTCGACAATAACGCCTTCTCACACGTGTTGAAAGGTGACAAAGTCTTGCTAGCATATGCAATAACTTTGTTTAAACTGCCCTGCTTCTGATACAGAACAGCACTTATGCTTAAATCGGTATATCCTGTCTCCAGATAGAAGGGTTTACCCCCCTCTGGGTATGCTAAACAGGGTGCCTGAGTGAGCTTCCTCCTCAGTTCACTTACCGCTTGGTCCTGAGGCTCCCCCCAGTTCCAGGTAGTTTCCTTTTTAAGCAGGTATAAGAGTGGTTTCGTTATTTCTGCATAGTTATCTATAAACTTACGCGAGTAGTTAGTCATACCAAGGAACGATCTTAATTCCCTGATGTTTGAAGGTGTTTTAGCATTTAGTATGGCTTCAACCTTCTTCCACTGGGGATTTAATCCTTCAGAAGTTACCTCATGTCCAAGGAAATTGACATGGGTGCGACACCATTGCGCCTTTTGTAAAGACAGTTTAATCCCTGCCTCTCTTAACTGAGTGAGAACATGTCTAATCTCTAAGATATGCTTATCAAAGGAAGTGCTTTTCAGCAAGACATCGTCGACATATGATAACGTTCCTCTCTCGAGTCCATCAGGCATAGCTTTATGCATGAACACAGCGAATTCATGACCAGAGTTTATATAACCGAAAGGCATACGGGTCCAGGTATACTGCTGCTTTCCAAATGTGAAGGCCAATTTGTATTGGTCTTCATTATGGACTGGTACAGTCCAATATCCCTGGGCACAGTCAATGGCAGTGAATATTTTGGATCCCTGCATTTGTACCAAACATTGGTCTATGTATGGTGTTGGCCAACCAGACATATAGACGCGTTTATTTAGCTGTCGTAAGTCAGCACATAAACGCCATTGTCCATTAGGTTTCAGAATCCCCTCGGATTATTATACGAACTGTGCACTGGACGTATAATGCCCCTTTCCTTTAAATTCTGAATGATGTCTTGTAGACCATCATATGACGCTAATGGGAGTCTATATTGTTTGATAAATACAGGTGGTAAATTTGGACCAGTTTGTATTCTGGCTACGTGGAGGTTAGTTAACCCACAGTCGTAGGAATCTTTGGCAAAAATATCTTGGAATTCCAAAAGGATTTCCTTTAACTGTTGCCGCTCAGCATCGTTGGAGCAACCGTCAGCTAAAGATATTTGCTCTTCTAGCCTTTCCTGAAATCCTGGAAAGATTTCAGGCTGGCCTATCTCATAAGATTCTTCAAGCCTAGAAGTTAGGTCAGTTCGGTGTTGACTTACCTTTTCTCTTTGGTCGTGATACTCTTGTGATTCCTGCTCATTGAGCGGATGATCGAAGGTGATAGATGCTTCTTCGATTTTACACGAGCCTTCTTCGACGTTGAAGGGATATACAGATAGGATAGTGAATAATCCTTCTGGGGAGGATTGGAATATTTGATCGACAATTTCGTCCTCAGTTAAGTATTATTCAGGGATGAGGCCTATAATTTGGTTTTGGAAACCAAATGTATAGTACTCAGCATCTAATGCTAGACCTAATAATGTTCCTTTTGGTAAAGTAACACTCTTGGGTGTAACATTGTTGACCATGATATAGGTGGGTTTCTTACCAATACTTACCATTGGTGTATGTGTTACCACCATCCCTAATTGTTGTATCCTGTTGGATAAACAGATTAGGGCATCAGAGTTTTCTAATCTCTGACCCTCCTTGACCTGTAGGGGTAAAAGAAAGTTACTTGTCCCCTGTGGGATGGTTATGTCATCAGGAACTTGGATACTTACCGCATATGGGAGTATTTGTCCTGATTTCAGGGCGTTTTCCTCGTGGAGGTATCCACAAGGATTACCTTTTAACCTTGTCCACAAGTTGGAATTAATCAGGTGAAGGTGTATGGC